ATATGGGAATTTTAAAGAATGATAAGTATTCTCACCATGGCTCATTCAATTGTCAACAGGGATCAGTGATGCATTACAATAGTGTTGAAATTTACATTCTGTAATGGTATGGAAGAATTAGCCCCATAAAATGGAAAGAAAGACAAAATATTCTTTTGTATTAACACTTTTACACAGTACTGTAAATGTTCTGAATTTTCTATGACAAATATACATATTCATGTCACCAGAAAAACCTTAAAATGTTTTAAGTTATTTACTCAATTTGCACATAACTTGATTGTCTATGGTACAACATTTATTGTGAGTATTAGCACAAACGTACTTCTGGGAGAAACATCAGGCTATAAGCTTCAATAGTTGATGGTTTTAAAAACATTACTCTGATATGAATTGTTAAAAATCATCTCGTTCCATTTGTACATTTGTACCAAGTTTTCTAATAAACGATTTATAATAACACAATGATTTGTTTTCCGAGTATCTGATTTTCCCTAAATGACAGAGTACAAAAGCAGTTATAGAAAATAAGTGTATTACGTGTAAATGTTAACATAGAAGGGAGATAAAACTTGCCCAAACCCGATCCAAATCTTACACTAATAATAAAGTCTGCAATGTATTATCGAGTAAAGGAAGCTGTGTTCGTCAAATGTTCCATGGAAGAAAAATCAGTGACATTAGAATAATATAGTGTAGAAACTAATATGTGAATGTATTTGTCATGAACGTTCATACTGATTATACATTATTGTTATTATGGCTTTAAGCAATGTTAGCGAACATAAGCAAATGCTAATACAATAAAATTTATTTACTATGAATTTTTAATGCATTAGTTGGTTAATGATAACTTTTAATGTAATCCGTGTAGTAATTCTTAATTTTACCCGTACATGTAAGCATGTTTAATTAAAATTTTGAATTCCGACCATACTTTTTAGCGAAATAAAAATAAACAAACAAAATACACACACACACACACAAATTATCAAGGTTTTTCGGAGGTCATTAGGATTGGCTGCATAGATTTATATAAAAGTTTAGAAGAACATGTAAATAGTTGTTTAAAGCAAAGTCTGTGATATTGTATTTCTTTTCGAAATTATTTTTCCTGGATTTTCATGGGTTTGCTACTAATATTGGAATATTTGGCTTGCCAATGCTATTCATAAATGTGATCAGACACACACATATATATATATTTAAAGTTAGTAAGATTGCTAAGATATAAGGCAATGAGAAACAATGAAAATCATATAATTTGTATAATTTTCTTTTGAGTCTATACTTTAAAGTTATTCCTACGCCTTTTATCTATTTTTATAAATTAAATATTTTGCTAGTAATGCTGCAAATTACATAGATGTTTCTTTAATAACCATAATATTAAACAAAACACATCAAGATCAACAGACACAATATCTTAAGAAAATAGAGAAAAAGAAAACTATAAGATAAAAAATTGAGATATATATCAACATAATTGGTAAAGTAATGTGAAACAAACATGTCTGAATTTTGATGTAAACAAGAAGTACTAACTATGAACCTAAGCTATGATAGTTTTACCGTTTTCTTAGTAGTTTAAGAATAAATCAAAACATCATATTTTTTAGTTTAAGGGAAGAACAATATAAATTAAATTAGTCCTATTTTTGTACAACTGCTTTCCATTCCATACGTGTGAAGACGTATGACGATATAAAAGACAATGTATTATTTTTTTATTTAAATGAAATTCGAATTGTTCATCTGATTTAACTAATAAATACAAATTTAGTGTCAACTCAAGCAGTAAGCTGTTTCCTTTGAATCGGTTGGGTCTATGATTTCTACAACTTGTACCGACATTTTATTGTTTGAAACAACAAGAGCTGAGGGAGAGGTTGAACAAATGGTGAATTATAAAAAGTTTACTTTGGCAGTATGTGCTTCGCCATCAGAATGGGCTCTATCAGTTGACAGGGGCTTCTCTGGCAATGACTGGACGCTGGTGTGTCGTTGTTCTTGAACGGACGCAAGTCTGGAACGAAGATGTTTGCAAATTTCTAAAACTTTATTATCCTTCGTAATGACGTATCATTCTCATTTTGTGAGTATTATAAATCTTACAGATAACATTGTGTAAATTTTAAGAGAGTTAGTACTTTAATGTCATAATGGTTTTTACGATAGATAACACTGGACAACTACAACAATAAAAATTCCCTGTTACTAGAAAAAATGCAACTTGACGATGCTGATACTAAAAATCATGTTGAAAATTACTGATCACTTCTAGTATTCGAATTATGATAGATTTATTCAACATATTCTAATGCACTGTGAAAAATAACAGCTTTTTCTTTAATAACTTTATTTATTTAGAGAAAATTACATCTAAGAATGTTCACAAACAACACATAATAGCAATAACAGTTTAAAACAGCCTTGAGTATAATAAGGTTATATACTGAAAACACATTCAGACTATGTTCAAAACTTTCATCATGGTATTTTTTTATTTTTTGTGACAAAATACTTGCTTGACTTGTTGCGCTTTTTGTGTATGTTTTCAGTTTCATGTTGTAAGAAAGAACAATAATCTCCCATCATTGCAGGATTCCATCATCCTTGATATCCCTGTTCCATTGTAGAAATATTTTAGAGAAAGTACTCACCATGCTCATCGCTCACTGCATCTAGATTATTTGGAAAGAAGTCTAAATGGAAGTGTAAGAAGTGCATATTTATTGACATCCTAGACTCCATTTTTCTGTAGTTCTAAAGCATATCAACAGTCATCACAGCATAGTTCTCAACCAGTTTAAATGATTTCCAGGCACCAAGTTCTTTCTTATTGAGTAGTATTTCAAAATCATCATCCATCAGCACTTCCCTAATCTTTGGCCCAACAAAGAAACTACTTTTCCTTGTTTTTCCTTCACTGACTCTTAGAAACTTGTCAGACAAATATCTGAAACCATTACCATCTTTGTTCATTCCTTTTACAAAATTTTTCACGAGTCACAGTTTAATATGAAGTGGGGCAGGAACATATTTTGAGGATTCAATAAAGGCTGATACTCGATATTCTGTTTCCCTGGTGTTCAATTCTCTATCGCTAGCCATTCCTTCTTTTTGAAATTATTTTTATCATCTCAGCTTTCCTAGAGACACAAAAAGCAATACTATTTAGTATACCCACTCTGCACGCCTAGCAGAGCGCAATAATATTTAGATCACCATATATGTTCCACCTATGGTGATCATATTTTATGGTCTTAAGTATAATCTGCATGCCTTGATAAATTTCTTTCATGTTTACAGCATGACCAACAGAAATCGATAACATCAGGTACCATGATGGTGACAAAACCTTGTCGAAACGTTGTACATTTGCTGTTATGTTAAACTTATATTAAAGTTTTTCTTCATTACCCATTCAAGCCGTCTCCAGCCATTATTAGTATTCCTATTGTGCAAAAGTACAGCTTTCAGACAAACATTAGATGAGTCGATAAAAAGCCTCCATTATTGAGGGTAATGTTCAGTACCTAATTCTTCTATTAGCACATCAGCATTTATACAGAAACACAAAGTATCTTGCATGTTGTAGTGAAAAACAAGACTTCGGTAAATTGAAACACTTGTTCTTGAACCTAATAAATTCCACTGCTGTAAACAAGAGCCAAAAGGTTCCCCGTGCTGCTTTGATAGAGACAAGTCACGAATCAGATCATTTAGCTCTTCTTGTGTGATCAGATGAGGCAGTTTAAGCTGAGGTGTCACAGGAGCAGAGTTACTAGATGAAGAGGATGAAGATGATTCATTGTCTTTTTCGCAGGATAACTATTCTGTTTTCGCTGGTGGATGAGGCACTGGAAGATCAATCCCCATGAAGTATTGGTTTCATTCAGATGCAATATTTGGATACTTAATGTATTGTATAGTTTTGCCTGACTATCCAGAAGCTTCAGTCATGGAAAAATAACATACAGTTAGATGATCTTTGGAATCACACCATGTCATGGGAACTGCAAATGGCATACTTGACCTTTTCTTATTCAGCCACTGTGTCAAGCCAGATGTGAAAACTGTACAGCACACACGTGGAGCCCAATGTTTTTCTTGGTTACCAATTTTACACTTAATATTGTGGTAGTAAGCTAACTTTACCTTGTGTGTGATGGTTTTCCTTCATGAAACGGTAATATATTTTCCACAAATGTAGCAGAAACTGTTTGGGTGATTTTTGTACTTTCGGACTTTACTTGAACTGTAGGTAGCCAGTATTTTTTCAAATGATTTTCTAAAAATATAAAATAATCTATGTTTGCAGAACTAAAGTTTAAAATATTAAAAAAACGTTTTGTAAAATTTGATTACATTGCGGGTATAATGCAAGAAAGGAGATCAGACTTTGTTTTGACTGTGTGCAGAGTGAGGTAAAGTGACCAAATGAGTGTGTGAGAGGCAGCTGAGAGAGACGCGTCTGACTCCGCCCCTTTTAAGCTCAATCAAGTGAACTGAGAACATGAAGGTTTCGTGATTCTCGGGCAGAGCAGATGAGCGTGGGATTGAAGCAAAAGTGGGGCAATGCGGTGCAATTCTATGGAGAACAAATAGCATATATGAACAATACATTTGGAATTTTACACCAATACAATACAGTCAATGTTTGAAATTATCAACGATGTATGCCTTTTACCCATTAAACTGTCCAAGTAAACTTAATTTGACAGTATAAATCTATTGTACTGAGTTGATTGCATGGTATTTCACATAGTGCTGATAAAACATTGAGATATTATAATAATTCAAAATCTAGAGGAGATTGACAAATTCTGACTACATTTTTGAAATCAGCACCATCAAATCACTTGAGTTTTCTCCAGTGACATTGGTGTAGATACATTATGAATTAAATATTAGAGGAATGGTATCAAAGTTAGAAATAGCAATGTGAGTTTACTTACCGTTTCAATGTTACTAGGGTTCCAGTCAACTTCTTGCAACGTCTGAGAGCACTCTCTAAACGTTCCGGTTCATCTTTTAAAAATCTAAAATGAAGTACGTTAAAAAGATTTTATCTCTATTAAATAACACTACATTGAAAGTTTTATTACCTGAAAATCAACGCAGTACTCTGATATTTTTTATTGGCACAGTGGAAAAAAACAGACTTAGATATACCATTTTGCAATAAAAATCACATTTAAATTTTGCTGATGTGAAACAGGAAACAAAATTGTGCAGCATACTTCAATTCATTTAATTTTTTCTAATATTATTTTGAGAATTCCTTAAAACAAATGAAGGTTACTAACACGGAATTATATTTTTATTTATTTATTATTTTTTTCTCTTAAATATTGCCATCAAATGTTTCAAGATAATGCCTTATAAAGATTAAAATGAGTAATCATTGAAAATTTATAAATAAGAGCGTTTCAAAAATGCAACATAAATATTTTAAACTTAATATTGTGAACAGTTTCATATCAAAATCTTGAGCATAGGTATAAAATATTCACATATCCTTACTTTTCTTCTTTAACAACTACTTCCATTTCAGCAGACATCACAGCTTTTAGATTTTCTTGTAAAGTTGGAAACCTTGCTGTAGAAAAATTATCAGCAAAAAGTATTATTAAAATGATGAAAATTGTGTTTCTGAAGTATTGAAAACTAAAATAAAATTTGTGAACTAATAAAAGATTTTATTGCAATATGTGTTTCATTATTGTTTAGACATAATTTTCAGAAACATGTTTCAAGTAATTGTTGGTAAATATTACATTTCTTTATTTGTTTATTGTAAAGTAAAGCTACATTGAGCTATCTGCTGTGTCCATCGCGGGGAATCGAGCCCCGGATTTTTTTTCCTTGGAAATCCGTTATATATAAGAAAATTTCGATAAACCATGTGTAGGACTGGTTTGTTCTTTAAGTAGATATACTATGTTATTTCTTAACTTATCAAACGAAATTTCCTACAAATCCAGTTGTTTGCAATACAATAATTCTTACAAAGGGAATTTCTAAATATCTAATTTAAACGACGTATAGAACCAACTGAGGTTCCAGTTGATTGCAAGATGCTTATTGCATCAGAAATATTTTGACTGTAAAGTTTAATGTACAAATTTATTATGTACATACATGAAATACACGAGCTCTCAAACATTTTTACATTGTCTAATAACCTTTGTTATAACCTATATTTTTTAATCAAGATGTTTAGTCAGAAGGAATTTTAATGTAACATGATGAGCTTTACCTCACTTGTCTGGAACTCTCTTCAATGTTTAGGAAATACTTTTAACCATTTATAAAAAAACAAAAAACAGCTAGTTAGGCTAAATTGTGTTAATGAGTTTGCCAGTCACTTCGTGAATAATCAGTGCATGAATTAATTAGTTTGCTACTGTTGGAATGTTAGTCAGTTAGTTCATTGTTGTGAATATTTCGTTTGTAATTTGATGAAGAAACATAGAATTACCAAACAAGTGTTTATATATTTGTGTTTTTGTTATACTTAAGTGAACTGATCACTGTGTCACTATGTTTCAAAAATAATACAAAAGAACTGGCTAACAATAGAAATGATAGAAAATTTACAGAACAAAGTAGAAAAGCCTAAAGAATATGTGTAAAAGGCTTATAACAAAAAGAATGAAGACATACGGAAGGATTATAACCAGAAATGTGCAAGAAGATTATAACAATGTAACGAATTTGTTTTAATTTATTTTAATATCGACGTTGAGTTTTTATTTAAAAACATGCATAGCTTGTACAGTTAGATAGGTATTGCGAAACTCCGTCTATTCTCCAAAGTTGTAGAAGATTCTCGAGAGTAAGAATCAACAATATATGTGTGTATTGTTAACGCTTTAACCAGTATTGTTACGTAAGACTGATGTTTCTAGAAAACGTTCCCACGCTACAAATATAACTAACGCGACGCGTCAAGAGAGTATCTATTATTAGTTTTCTATATGTGAGTGTGATATAAAACTTCGAAAGCTATAATTGAGATTGTTATAACGTTTACCAATTGAAAAACGTAAGATATTCTACCAGGAATATTTATAAATTTCGAACATTACAAATCGTTTAACTGCAGTGGATTCTCATGGGACATTAGTAATTTTTACGAAAACATTACCAACTTCAATGGTGAAAAACAGCGTGTGTGACCAAAGAGACAAAGCTAGATAGCTTCCCGGCGAATCGTACTTACATCAACTCGCTTATAGTAAACCCTCGATAAGATATTAAGAAAGTTCTAGACTAGAAAGAAAACTTTATATTGTTTGTAAGTTTGTGAAACTTTTGTTTATGAATCATTGTTTGTTATAACTATTTGTAATAATTGTTATTGTAAATTGTACTGTTCTGTGTATATTAAAACGTATTTGTGTTAAAAACGAAGATGGTGTGTATTAATCTAGTTGGAAAATATCGTTAATTGACTAATATATTGACAATTATTTAAATATTAAATCCAAAGTACAGTTTAACTACTATATTTAAATTATCTAACTCGGCTTCGGACTATTAGAAATTCTAATACGTAACAACAACAAGAACAACAATATGCAAACATATATCAACAAGGTACAAAACAACACCAGCGCCAGATAAAATATTTGGGAATTGTATTGACAAATGAAAGGATGAAACCAGTCCCACTTTTTTCTATACCTTCTTAAGAATTCAAATCTCAAATACTATTAAGTATGCAATATGGAATAACAGAACCCATTTGATCTACATCATTTAGCACAACTGATGTGTTTCCGATAACAACAGGACGTTGCTGTAATGCTCCATCTACGCCACTACTTCATCAAGTTACCAATCATAGCTGGCCAGTTCAATAACATCATCAATCGAAACATCAACAGACTATTAATCAAAAGTACCATAGAAAGCATATAAGAAGAAATATGACATATTTTCTAAGAATATCTTATGGAAGAGTGTACAGTCAGCTGTTCATTTTATTTCTCATTTAAAAGGATTACCTTTAATGATATTAAGTAACATTCCAATTGAGAGACAAAACTGTCAGTTATTAGAGGATACATAAGGAAAATATTTCGAGTATTGCATAAAACAGAAGTTTCGGAGTAGAATGAAAAAGAAGGACGAGACTTTAGCTGAACTTGCTGAAGATGTAGAAAGACTTGCACCAATCTTATTCAATTGATTTACATGAAATAATGGATTTATTGGCACTAAATCATTTCATGGATGAGGATATGCAAATTATGCTAAAGAAAAGTAGGTGCACATTTTCAAAGGAAGCTGTTCAGTTGGCAATGAAATTAGAATAAATTGAAGTTGCAATTAAATAGCTAAAAGAATTAAAAAGAAACAGTTAAAAAATCAAATTAAGGAAATCTAGAAGAACTAAAAGGATCAATTACACAATTGTTTATTTAGAATGGAAGAATTCAGCCACAGGTGAAGCTTAAAAGGATACGTTACCAGGGACTGCAAACAAAATTATTTAGGAAATAAAAACCGTTCCTAAAGATTGACAGGAAAAAATGCTATAAGCATGAAAAACAGGAATACAGAGTGTTGGGTACGTTATATTAAAACGAGTTTCAGCCTCACTACCCTGTTACAGCCAATGTTACAGACCAGATTTTGTCATACTGTATTGGACGACTGTGCATCTTAACAGCAGCCATGCAAGATAGTTTCCATTGCAAAATACATCTGTTGTAAGGCTGTCATATTCGAAGCATATGAATCTTTCCTCTAAGACTTTTATAGTACATCTAGTGCACGGGGATGGAGGTTTTCCAGTGCCCACTTTAACAGTCGGATCACATAGAAATCCATGGGTGTTGCATCCTGCTACTTGACTGGTATGTTCTTAAATATAATAGCATGAATACCTGTAAAATCCTGCAGCTGCGTGAGGTATGGGACAGTTGAAAGGGAGGTATGAATTGATGAACCCGCTCCCTGTTGGTCTCATTTCCAGACAGCTATCATCCTTGATGATGTTGTGTACTTTTGCCTGGGACATATCGATAGCTTTTTGCTTCTGACCTTTTAGTTCATGAACTTTGACATGCTACAAAATGTCACTCTTTGCTTAACACGACTGGGGTATTATTTGTTTCATGTCTCTTTCTGAATGATCCTGATGCCCCAATTTGATCCATATTCCTTTATTTTCCAAGGCTCTTAAATACAGTGGATATTCCAGTCTTGAAATTGTAAATCTGCAATCTAAACGCAGCTTTATGATTTAATTGTATGAATATTTAGCACCGGAAAAGACTGTTACATACCTTTGCCAAAAGTCATCAATTTTTGGGTGCATCACACTACCTATAAAACGTTAAACAATGTCAAAATGTAGTTTTAATACATGGTACCCCACCGCGGCTTTATATCGGCTATGACTAACACATGATGTGTTAATAAAGTTTTATATCGTACTCGACCCTCCATATTACAACCAAGGTTGCGGTGAATCTGCTGATGATAATAAACCAAGAATATGATATCCTGAAGAAAAAGTTGAGGTAATGAATGCATTATTTAAAGACAACAATCGAAAAGACAATTGATACATTATTCGACCTGATCTGGTAATAAAAGCTGGGAAATTGCATTCAGAAATAAAACAAGTATATGAATAGATGCCAATGTCAAGTGGCCATATAGTTTTAGAAAGAGTAAATTTGGAAATCACCCTCATTGTAGAAAGGTCCTCTACACAATGATATGTGGTAATTGACATTGAGAAAGAGTGTTTATTGGAAGTTGACTTCGTATGGATTTGAGTTTGAATTCGCTTCAAATGGTTTCATAGTCTATGGTCAAGAAATCCCTGTGCACAAGTAATTGAACTTCCAGTGACAACACAGGCGGAATCTTAATAAGAGTCATCATGTTTGAAACAAACACAGCATAATGACTTAGTGGGCAGACACTGCATTCTACCACGACGAACACTTCAAAATCAAAATATTGCTTTGTTGACATACTTAAATACAACAATGTGCAAGTTATGCTACCAATTCCTTTGTTTTAAACAGAAGATGGATAGGTGACCTTTGCTACTTGGCTGACTTGGGATTCAGTGACATCTATTGCATTGAATTGAGAGGCCAAATATCTACACGAAAGAGACAATGAGAACATATAAATAACTGATGGTTTTCATGTATGCATATATTTTTGGTTGTATTAAAATTTATTATGCAAATATTATTCACTCCTTTGTGAGTTATATAGAAGCCATTGAATGATCATGAAATACAATGACAGGAATAGGGTGGTGCAGATAAAGATCCAAATTTAGCTGTCACTGTATAATTTGTATATTCAATGCGTATGTATGCCTCTGCAGGACTGCGTGTGTTTTTAAAATGATTTAATACCCATTGATTAATACTCCCTCTTATATGAATGTTAAAATGCAATTCGTTATTTCGCTATGCACAGTTTTAATTCTTTTTTTTTCAAACATTTTCAGAAACTGAAATATTACGATTGGTATTAACTCTTTCAGTACGGGCTCAGTCCCTGGGACCGACCTCGTAACCATTTTGTGCTTTTCATAGTTTTCGTGCTATAACTTTT